TCTGTTTCACAGCCAGGTTCCCTGAGGGGCCCCAGCGAGGTCGGCAAGAACCAAACGCCGTTATCGCTGGAGCAGATTCTGCTCGTGTCGCAGAGGGGTCTGTCTGCCTGCCTGGTGGACGGCATAGCAGGTTTTCTGATCACAGACTGTTTCTCGCTGGCCTAAACTTCACTGCCAGATCCCGTCAGCATTACCGATAAAACAAGACTACTGTCACCTGCACGTCGCCGTTTGCCCTGGTACAAACATCTACCGAGAAAGGGCTGGGAGCTGAGCGCTGAGCACATGGTACGTCTTAGAAAGACCTTTACACAGCCTGGTCTGCAGTGGGGCATGAGGAGCTCGAGAGGAACACCCCGCTGGCCAGCTGAGCGATACCTGCTACGCGCTTCAGCACGGGAGCACTGCTGACACCGACAGCAGGCCAGGGAACAACGCCGCCGAGGGCTGCGCTCCTGCCTGTGAGTAACCACGCGGGGTCTGGGCGGTCGCAGCGGACGTCAGCACGGAAGCGACGCAGCGAGCCTGGCACTGGGGGCACCCACTCCACTAGACCCTGTGCCTTGCCTGTATCAAAGCCAAGCAACTAATTAAAGCTGCCTGGGGATAATTACCTGGAGTACATTCTCCACTGTGACGTTCATTTCCAGATTCTGCTTGCAGTAGGCCTGCAGTCTGTTGTTGGAGAAGCCGTAATAGTAAGGTGCAGCAAAGAGGTAGCTATTAATCTCATTAACGAAAAAAAACTGTAAAGCAAAAGTAAGAGCACTGACTGTAAACGCAAATCAATACAGGAGTCGAAACGCAGTGCCTGTGAATGCGACCCCGACAAACCACCCTCCCGGGCTGTGCCTGGCAATCACACAGAGTCACAGAATGGCAGGGGTTGGAAGGGACCTCTGGAGATCACCTAGTTCAACCCCCCAGTCACAGAAGGAAGGTGAGCTGCTGCACGCGCGCTTCAGACAGATACTTCAGTTACTGTAGATTTAAGGATACAGGGAGTCTTCAGGAGGCATGTTTACTTCTCCATAATAAATGTATCTAAGCATAGATTCAAATGCTTGCTTGCTGGGAACCATTTCACCTATAGAAATATTCACTTGCCCATCTTCTGGCATGAAGGAACGGAACATGGCTTCAAAGTAACTGGAAAAGGAAACAAAACTGATGTAGCCATTCTGCAGCCAGAGGGTTTAACCCAGCGTTGTCCAACAGCTGCTATTCAGCACTGCAGCTTCCGAACCAGCAAATCCAGGTGACAGCCTGGGCAAAACCACTGCTAAACTATTGTTTCACACACGTCTGCCTGTGAGAGAACTCCAAATATAATCCCCCTCATTTCCATCAGCACTACCTGAAATTTGTCTCTGTTTCTTGAAAATTAGGACACATGGTGCTTTGATTTTCGTCTAATTTGCATAAGACCCAGTAGAGAGCTTAAAGCATTATGAATTTCCTTGGTATCTACAGGCTGCCAATCATGCAGGGCTGTTTTAAGAGCTGTGAAATGCTTCTGGTAAAATACCACGGTAACTAATACTGAATATTATTACTGGGACTGGAAAAAAACTGTGACGGTACTTGAAATAGAGATTTTATGTGAGCACTTCATGTCTGGCAGAACATAAAGGTGCAGGGACACAGAACACACATGCGAAGGACAAACCCACTTCACCCACGTCCTGGGGAGGGGGAGCAGTGCCCATCTTCAGCAGGGTGAACTGCCGGCCTCTGCAACAAAGTACGGGAACAATCTGGTCTCTGTTGAGCACCAATTTTTGTTATGCTGATTCATACCCAGCCTTAAACACCAGCAAGTGAGAAAGAGATTCAAGTTTCACACGATTCAAAATGGATGTTCACTGTCAGAAGACTCTCTCTGACCTCAGTGGACATCTGGTGCTTTCCACTCCACCGAAACCGCCGTATGTTTTACATCCCTCTCCCCTTCCCGACTCCTACAGAATCCCTACAGATTCTTTGTCTCGCAGTGCAGCTTCTTACACATCCTCTAGAGAATCTCCACAGTTTTAATTTCCTCCTCTC